CTATACTCAGTGTTACACTCTTATATACTAAGTGTTAAACCCATTTATACTCAGTGTTGAAATCTTTTATTCTGTGTTAAACCCTTCTATACTCAGTGTTAAACTATTCTATACTCAGTGTTAAACTCTTATATACTCAGTGTTAAACCCATTTATACTCAGTGTTGAAATCTTTTATTCTCAGTATTAAGCTCTTCTATACTCAGTGTTAAACTCTTCTATACTCAATGTTCAACTCTTCTGTACTCAGTGGTAAACTCATTTATACTCAGTGTTAAACTATTCTATACTCAGTGTTAAACACATTTATACTCAGTGTTAAACTGTTCTATACTCAGTGTTAAACTCTTTTATACTCAGTGTTAAACTCATTTATACTCAATGTTAAACTCTTTTATACTCAATGTTAAGCTCTTCTATACTCAGTGTTAAACTCTTCTATACTCAATGTTCAACTCTTCTATACTCAGTGTTAAACTCATTTATACTCAGTGTTAAACTCTTCTACACTCAGTGTTAAACTCATTTATACTCAGTATTAAACTCTTCTATACTCAGTGTTAAACTAATTTATACTCAGTGTTAAACTCTTTTATACTCAGTGTTAAACTTGTCTATACTCAATGTTAAACTATTTTATACTCAGTGTTAAACTTGTCTATACTCAATGTTAAACTATTTTATACTCAGTGTTAAACTGCTCTATACTCAGTGTTCAACTGTTCTATACTCAGTGTTCAACCCTTTAATACTCAGTGTTAAACTCTTTTATACTCAGTGTTAAACTCTTTTATTCTCAGTGTTAAACACTTCTATACTCAGTGTTAAACTGTTCTATACTCAGTGTTCAACCCTTTAATACTCAGTGTTAAACCCTTTAATACTCAGTGTTAAACCCTTTTATACTCAGTGTTAAACTATTTTATACTCAGTGTTAAACACTTCTATACTCAATGTTAAACTGTTCTATACTCAGTGTTAAACCCTTTAATACTCAGTGTTAAATTRCTCTTAGGAAGGCCAAACAAAAGCATAAAGGAAACAGATGATAAATGTGTTTTTCAGGTGATAAAATAAATTTWATGTAATTGAACTTTCCCTCCCCCKCTTAAGTCAGGAGATAGAGTACTGGGGCATCAACGAGTTCTTRCTGGACACCTGCTGTAGCTACCGTTACCACGACCGCAAGCTGGAGAGCAGCCGACACCGCAGCTGGGACGACGAGAGCGACGTCAGCAGCGTCGACACGTCCGTGGACGAGATCTCTGATTTAAACAAGTCAGACACTTCGCCGCTCTTTGCGCCATGACTAAATTATGAATGCCCCTCTCAGTGTTAATCGCTAAGACATCTTCCTCCTCCTCCTCACCCACAGAGACATGCAGCATTTTCAGGAGGTGCGTTACGGGAACGTCAAAAAGTGTTTGTGGCTGACGCTGGAGAACCCGGGATATTCCATCCCCAGCAAGATGTTCAGCCTGCTCTCCATCGGAGTGGTGCTCACCTCCATCGCCACCATGTGCATCAACAGCATCCCAGAGTATCAGGTTGGTTGAACCAACAAGCTGACAGGATGCACTTTTCACAGTATGGCTCTAGAACTCATCTGAAACTCACAGTTTTAGATTAGATTAGATTAGATTAGATTAGATTAGATTAGATTAGATTAGATTAGATTAGATTAGATTA